AAAAAAGTACTCCAGAGTGTTGTTCAGCATGGGGGTGAGTAGAAAATGAAGGCTAATCATGTTTTGGGTGTACTATTCCTTTAAAAGCTCTGTCCTTTTAGAGTTTGGAACTGATGGGTAAAAAGAAAACGTTGAATATAGTAAGTTTCAGCACCACGGACAGCTGCTTTTCTTCTTTTCACTTTGTCTTTTAATATAGATTGAGGTGCAAACACCTGCTTATATAAATGAAAAGCCGCATCAAAAGATCTGAGTTTTAACTTTCAGAAGACCCCCCCCCCCCAAAAAAAAAAAAAAGAAGAAAGAAACATACAAAGTAGAACGGGTTATATTGAAGTCTTTCCAAAGTCCAAACCCATACTAATTGACACTCTTTACCAAAGCTTGAAAATCATTTTGAAGAAATACTCAGCAATTCCAGATGTCTTTGACCTCCTTTCAAGACCCCTTAACTGCAATTAAAAAAGAAAAAAACAAAACTACCACAAGTAGTTATGTTGTTTTTCCCTCTTGGCTTTGACAGATTTATTTTTCTCATTACTTCCTCCTGGCTCATTTGATGAAATGCCTTGAAGTCAGATTTGCAGGGTTTATGAGCAGCAGCATGAGCAGCTGTATTACACACAAGAAGAAATTTAACACTTCTCCTGTCCCAGTGTTTTTCAAAAACATCTGCTATGTATTTGTTAGAGTAAAACACATTTTTAATGTGATGCTTGATGAGAGCTTTAGTGGCTGTCAGCACATTGAAAAGACCAAAATTGTGCTAAAGCCATGCTAATCACTTATTTTTCTCTTCTTTGGGATTGTTGGTTAAAAAGATGATATGACCAAATCTTTCTTTTTGTTTTGTCTTTTTTTCTTGCACACATGTCACAGCACTGTGTATATAGCTGGAATAAGAAGCACAGGAAACTCAGAATATTGGTTTCTTGCTTATATTGTTTTGCATTTCCGCCAATTAATTGATGAAAACGTTATCTCACCCACCCACATGCACAAGCTTGCACACAAAAGCCAGTAAAAGTGCTGTAGAGGAGAGAAGCACAAGTTATCCCACCAGCATCCTGCAGAATAGCTCATGGGTTTATAGCAACCAGCTCAGCTCAGCTCAGCTGAAGCTTTGTGTGTTTTAATTAAAGAAAAACCATCTGGCTGCTTGTTATTCTGTGTTTAGACATAATGCATGTATCTTTTTTCTAAACTTAGCACATTATATTGTATGTTGTTGATGCACTAAAAACGTTGTTTTTTCTTCTTAAAGCATCACAAGGAAAATAAGTTTTGATTATAATATAGGTTCTAATCTGAATTGTTGCCATAGAGAATTTCAATAAAATGAGGGGAGTAAGTCAAACAATAGTCCTTCTGTTTTCTCCTGATGAAGTAATAACAGTGATTGTTAAACGCAATAAAGATGATCATTGTTCTCCTGAGAGAAATGCTAACCTTTAATAGCACATGTAGGAGTACACTCCCATTCATCCTCATGCATATTTCTAGCCGTCCTTTTGGGAGAGTTGCCATTAAGGCTTCATACTTGATGTTTTATTTAAGCTCTGTAGTACAGCAGTGAGCTTTTGTTCTGCTTTTACTTTTGAATAAAAGGCCCTTAATAACACACCCACTATATAAGTAAATAGTGTTTCCAATTACTAGATTCAAAGTTGAATTACTGACAGATCTGTCTTCAAAATGATGCAGATTGCTCGAAAAAAAAGCCCCATAATTTCCACTCTAAGCTAGCAGTGGTTTAACTTTGTCCTTCTTGGTTTTCATTTGCTTGCTGTTACGTCGTTCGAATGTGATGAGAGGACGAATCTTGGTGACGTCTGTCCTCTGAAGTCACCCGTGGGCCTTCGGCTTAGATGCATGTGCTCATTAGTACATGGACCCGATGTCCAAACACACTGAGTGTGCAAAAAGATGACTTTGCTGCACTGATCTGTTTTTCCATGAACTAATCATGTACAGTATGTGAAACAGAGCAAGAAAAAAAAAATGCATAGTCACATATGTGATTTCATATCACCCGCAATAACTTCACCTGAATAAAACAATTGAGATCAAATATTTTATGGATAATATATTTATACAGCTGCAGCTATTCCCACGGTAAAAATTTGGTAATCTCGGCTTCTCCCTGAACATTGAGGACTCTTATTAAACCAATGTTGAAAAAGTGAAAATTGACAAACTGGTCTTACAGAACTTGCAGAACAACCTGCTCATCTCAAACCTCCCCTTAATCAGTAAGATTATTGAAAAAGTTGTATTTCAATTTTAATGTATTTGAATGCCTTTTAGCAATGACCAGCTGCTTTGATGTGTTCCAGTCAGGTTTCCGTGCCAACCACATTACTGAGACCGCCCTGAATAAGGTGTTCAATGGCATCCGTATAAAATTAGAATGTGGAAGAACCACAGTCTTAAAAACTCGGTCAGCCTTTCTGGTACAGCACTGGACTGGTTTGAATCCTACTTGAAGAACAGGGACTTGTCTGTGTCAGTAGGGAACTTTAAATCAGAGACTAGAGAAATCACATGTGGGGTTTCTCATTGCTCCATTTCAGGGCCCCTCCTATTCAATATCTACATTCTCCCCTTTGTTCAGATTATAGCAAACAAGAAGATCGATTACCAAAACTATGCAGACGACACACAGCTTTAGATCTCAATGTCACCAGGTGACTATGAACCCATGGTTAGATGCTTAGAACAGTTAAAAATGTGGATACCCCATCATTTTCTCCAACTGACTGAAAACAAAACTGAGGTAATAATCTTCTGACCAAAGAAGGAGAGTTTCAGAGTTATCTCACATCTCCAGCTACTACAGCTAGAAACCCCTGACTGTGGCCGAAATCTTGGTGTCACGATGGATTCAGACCTTGAACCTTGAGAGGCACATAAAAGCATTGTATCACCTGAAGAACATCGCCAGCATTAAATGACTAATCTATAAGCAGGATGTAGAAAAACACATTCATGCATTTATCTTTGGTAGAACTGATTACTGCAACAATGTCTTCATAGGTCTGCCTAAAAAGTCCATCAGACAGCTGCAGCTGATCCAAACAGGTTTAGTTTAAAGCCGGGAGGCTAAAGAGGTGGCTTTAAAATTTATGTTGTTTTATCAAAAAAAAATAAGACATACAAAAGAGCTACAACACTACCTTACCTGAAACAGTCTCTACATACAGGTAATGCATTTGCATTAAAGCCGCGTGCGCACTAGCTTTCCTCTGATTAACATGAAGAACATGTAAATATTTTCTGTTTCTCTGACAGCACCACCATTCCAAGTCTGATGTTAGTCTATATATATATATATATGTAGTACAGCAGTTTTATATGACTATAAAACTTGTAGATTCACACTGAAAGCATCAAAACTAT